TGAAGACACAGACGTCCATCCCTGTTAACAATGGGACAGAACTCAAAGGGAAAGGAAATTATTCTTATTTCTATCGTTGCGTATATCAGCTGCGACATATGAATCAAGATACTATGACAGAAAAAAATTGATTGATGACCGTTGATATATGATTGGCTGATTTTAGGTGTTCAAGCTGACGTATAACTAACTGGCCCGCATAAGATAATGAAAAAAAAAAAAAAAAAGATTTTCAGACATAATTAAAAAAAAAATAACAATGTTCTAACTTTTGGGACAATATGGTCTGATAAAGAGTACATTTATATACATGCTTAAGCCAGATTGATTTGACATTTAAATATGATTTCCCTACAATTTTACAGTCAGAAAAAAGTCTGAATTCTAAAAAATAAGTCCGAATTCTGACTTTTTATCTTATAAAATATTAAACTGAAATAATATTTAAAAATCAGTTAACTCTTTTTATTTTTTCAGTGGCCCTAATCCTTTTCCAGTGATGCTCCAGATCTATAGGTGGCAGTATGAAACCTCGGTTTGTTCTCCATACGCCATAAAACATCAAATGAAGAGACGTAAGTTACGTAATCTACGACGCATGCGCAGTCTACGGTGGTTCCCCCATTTTGCCTGTCGAGCTGCTAACGGCAGCTAGCTTCTTGTTTTTGTGCCTCTTGTATCTTCATTTATGTTTGGTTTTTATTTGTATTTCTTGGCTGGGAGAGAAACTCTAATAAGAAGGTACCGGTCCGCCCACTAAGGTCCGACCCGGAGGCCAGAAAGATGGACGGGGGAGAGGAGGAATTCATGTCCGGTAAGTGCGCTCTGCTACCCGGATAACATGCTAGCATGTAGACGTTAACAAAGCTCACCATGAGCTGCTCCAGTGGCGGGGTTCATCGCTACTAACCTGAGGTTCTGAAGGCTATTAGCTCAATTGTGTCTGTAATGCTCGCCCTGGTGGGGGTTGGTTTCCCGCTAATTCTATTTAAAATTGTCCTTTTGTTTTGTCTCCTTTATGAGCTGGGATTTCAGTCTGCCTGTTGGCTTTCAGGTTTTACTTTCACTCACTGGTTGATGGAAGACAACCTCTGGTTAAAAACATCTGGGTCCATATTTAAATTACTTTATTTCTTGCCGAACTTCCTGGAGGATCTGAATTCTCCAGATTTATCAGCAAAGTATTGATTAACTAATGCTGCTGGTCCAAACAAATGTCCAATATTTCCCCCATGTTGCCCTTCAGCCTCCTGGAATCTTTCTTCTGTTCTACTGTTGGTCCTTCTTCCATCTCAGAGCCATCTGCTGAGATCCTCCACTTCCTTTATGTATATTTACTATTTCCAGGCGTTAGGATCATTATCATTGATGATACGAGTTATTACACCTTGATATTAGTTGCCTCTTGCGTGTCAGAACTGATGTTTTCCACAATAGTTAATCCAATTAAGACAGTTCTTCTGTCTGGATATAGAGTTATACTCTTAATTTTGTACTTGGCAAATATTATGGAGTTGAATGAGAGCGGTGTCCTTAATCTAAAAACAAAGAGAAATATTTTGATAAGGCTGAAGCCATGGATGTCCACTCATCTTCTAATGTGTATGATGTAAAATGTGATGATGTGGTAGACTGGAGATGTATTAAATGCCTTTATAACTGTTAATCGGGGCTACTTTCTGAGAGGTGAGCAGCTGCCTTGTGTAACCTCTAAGCAACTTCTCTGATCTGAGTAAGATTACAGTTTCTATCAGAATCTGTTGTCATGTTTCCTGGTTATTAAATACATATACGTTTTGAAGTGTTATTTAAAGAGTTTGCCCTTAGTGATCTCTTTTCAGGAAAAAGAACCGGAGAGAGAAGGCTTCAAGCTGTAAATACACAGCCTATCTTTAACAAAGGCGAATTGCTTTGAGGTTTTCTTGCCTTCCTCTCTCCTGTGAGGTGATCATTATAATTTCATTGATTCAGCTGAGATCTCTCTCTTTGGACCCTCATTTACTGTTTCTGAGCCTTAGAAACACAGAGCAGAGGCAGTTTCCTTATTTTAGTCACTTAATGATCTGTTAAGGTTGTGTTGGATATTACGTACAAAGCTTTATTACAGCTTTATCTTTATGCATTATCTGAATGTTTTTTTTCTCTAATAAGGTTTCAGATCTGGGATTTGTTTTTCTTAACGAAAATCCTTTTTTTCTAATTAGTAATTAAAAGTTCCCAACATGATATTTCAGGCCATCAGGGTTTTTTTTCATCAGGTTTATTGTAATATGTTTGTAGATTGTCTGAATGCATATCTGGGAACAGATATTATTCAGCTGAACTAATACCCTGAGAACTTCTTAGTGAGAAGACGTGAAATCAGGTAATAATTTTGAATTTAAAGCTGTTTCTGATTTGTGAGGTTTGGGTTTAACTTACAATCATTTCTATTTTATTCCTGGGTTTAATGATGCTTGCATCACAGTTCTCCAGCTATTTTTAATGTCTTAAATTTCGGCTGCATTAACTTCTGTGATGCGGTCCAGAACAACAACATTTGCCCACAAATGTTAGTTATTCTTACATAATATTCTCTTAGACCCTGGAACAATTCAGCCGGTAAACTGAATTGATTTATTCTGATCTGATTTAGGCCGGTTCTTTTAGAGCATGAACAAACCCCAGCTTAAAAGGTCAGACATGGTTGCTGTCACTGTGTTGCTTTTATTTTAAATAACTATTTTCCGTACCTCAAATAAAATCAGATCATCTTTTAAAGTGTCTGATTAGCAGGAGCATCAACATAGCTCCAGTTAGATCTGAGTCGGTTGTTTTGTTTCTGAGGAATATTATCATGTTTGTTGTTGTGTTTCCCACGCCGATGTGCTGGGTTTATGCAGTTTCGCCCGAAACCATTAAGGTTAACTTTCTAATGTTTGTTTTCAGATGATGGAGGCGGCACCCCGGTTCAGGATGAGCATCCTCAATCCGATGGCGAGGACATGAGAAGCGACGGCCATCAGTCAGAGGTCGGCATGTTTGTTGCTTTTGATAAAGAATATTTAATGCTGTCCAGGGAACAATCCTTTCAGTCGACATTGAAAAATCATCAAACTTGATTTTTTTTTTGTTTTCGCATTTTTTGATGGAAAACTAGAACCTTGAAACGAGAAGAACTCTGCTGTGTTCTCGGACTTAGTTTTTGTTTTAAATTTATTTCAGTAGTAGGCATAGATTATTTTTTTAAAATCTAGATTAATCTCACTGTATGGTGAGATGGCTCATTTGAATTTAGCATTTATGACATGTGTGCCACCTAAATAATTAGTAACGCTAAGTCTTTGAACAGGTTTTTATCATATGAAACTTTAGCTCTAGAGATGAAATAGGCTAAATAAATAATACAGAAGCTACATTTTCAAGAAGCGTCCTACTTTACCCACAGTCACCCAAACAATAACCAAGAAACAGACATTATTTTGTGGTATCTCTCATGGTGTGGTGGTCAAAAAGAAAATCCTGTATTAAAATCTTTTTTTTTTTTCCGTTATCTTATGCAGGCCAGTTAGTTACCCTAAACACCTAATTTTGGCCAGTCATATATCAACGGTCATCTGTCAATCAAATATTTTTGGTCATAGCATCTTGATTCATATGAGGATTACGCTGCACATGTGGGGGAGCATTAATCGGCACCATATTCTGAATCGGCAGGATGATTCCATTTAGTGTCTTGATCCTTCTTCTCCCTCTTTTTCTTTCTACCCAAAAAAAAAAAAAAACCTTTTAATTTTCTTCTGGGACCTCTTTTATACAAGCTAATCTCTGTTTTGTGGTGTTTGTGTTGCATTCACTAAAAACTGGGAAATTACAAATTGTCCTCATTAATACCATAGTTTTATTTAATGGAAATTTGTTCTTTCTTTGGAAAAGAAAAAGCTTTCTGTTCTGTGAATTCTTCAGAAATCGGCTAGAGGTTGATTCTTCTTCTGCCTTTAACTCTCACCGGTCTCCATGGTGATCTTCTGCGTTTTTCGGTCTCTGCAGGACGAGGGCAGCAACGATGAAGACGCCTCCAATGCCATGGAAACGGGCGGCGCAGCTAGCAGCTCAGACACAGAGGAGCGCCGCAAGGCAGACAGCGACTCTGATGGCGAGGCCCCCAGGGGCCACAATGACAAAAGTGACTCGGAGGCGGAGGCTCCGCGGCCGGCAGACAGCGATGACGAGGACACTCCAGTCAAACGCAGGATGAGCGGCTCAGAAAACGATGAGGAGGAGTCGCCGGAGAAAAGAAGGACGAGCGGGTCGGACAATGAGGAGTCGTCTCCGGTCAAACCCGCAGCGTCCGACAATGAGGAGGAGGAGGACAGGTCCCCCGTTAGACGCAGAGGGAGCAGCTCAGAGGTGGAGGACGGGGAGGAAGCCACCAAAGCCGCCGCTCACAGCGACTCTGAGAACGAAGAGGAGAAACCTGCCGGGTCTCCGGACCGGCGCTCTGACAGTGACTCTGACACAGAGGCGCCCACCAGGCGCAAGGCGGCGCCCGTGGACTCAGAGGAGGAGGAAGGAGAAAGAGGAGGGAAGTGGAAGGGGGTGATGCAGTCTGACAGCGAGGAGGAGGAAGGAGTACGAAGGAAGAACGCTGCAGCTGGAAGTGATGAAGAGCAGCAGGAGGAAGGCAAGCAGCAGAGAGAGGACAGCGATGAAGAGGACGAGAAACCAGGTACCAGATTAAATGTCCCCCCCACCCACCGAGGGGGGGCTGTATGTGGTTCTGATTGGATATTAGAGCAGCAGTCCTGTGAAAGACCAGAGGAGCGGCACCTGAACCTGTTCTGGTGGTAGCCAGCCCAGAACCTGATCTGTTCTAAATGGATCATTGTTCTGATGTTTCTCCTTCAGGGTTTCTACCACTTTGTTCTAGTCTAGCAGTCCCACATCATAACACAGCCACCACCATGCCTGGTACAGAGTGTTCCATTTAGAGCCTTGTTTTGAAACCTCAAAGTTCTTGTCTTTGTGTCGGGTCGTGGGATGGTTGTGATGCTGCTGCAGTGTCTGGGTTAACATGTGTCTGTGGATCCGCAGTGAAGAGGAAGAAGGCCATCCTGTCTGACAGCGAAGACGAGGACGAGGATAAGGAAGACAAACCAGGTAAGTCAGGCGGCTTTTTTTTAGTTTAAAACATGGTTTCTGTGGGTCATTAAAAGTCGTAAAATTATATATTTTTTAAATTAAGGTCTTAATTGGCATTAAAATTCATTAAATGTGATTATCATGGCATTTTAAATCTTAATAAAAAAAAAAAAACGTTTATAAAAACAATTTCGCCAGATATATCAGATAGAACTGGTTCTGCGTGTTTGCGTGGAACTGCTTCCGGTTGATCATAAAGCCGTTTGTTCGGTAAAGAAGCTTGAGGCAGAGAAAAGCTAGAAAATGGGAAAATACAAATTTCAACTAAAGTGGCTGAAAATCGAGGAATTCAGGACATGGCTGCAGCCTGTCGACGGTAAAGATGACCACGGATTTTACGCTGTTATATATATATATATAGAGAGTCATGGGTGCTTGTTGATGGCATTAAAATTATTTCTAAGAGCATTAAAAAGCATGAAATTGGAGTGACTCATTCCTGTAAAACCTTTCAGTCATTCGTTGTCTTTGCTTCCCTCCTTCTGACTCGGCAGTTAAGAGGAGTCGGGCGGTGTCCGATGATGAGAACTCGGGTAGCGACGACGCTTCCGACGGTCCGGATAAAAGCCTGGCAGCCAAGCTGAGGGAGCTCGGATCAGACAGCGGGAGCGACGAGGACGACCAGGCCAAGCCCGCGACGGAAAAGGATGAGAAGGCTCTGTTCGGCAGCGACAGCGACTCCGGAGAGGAGCAGGAGTGAGTTAATGTGTTCAGGCAGACACCGCCCCCTACTGGCACAATGTAGAGCTGCAGGTGTGACGACCGGGGTGGGGGAAGAGGCTGAACGAAAGCTTCTCCCTCCCTCAGTTTACTCTGAGACCTGATTCAGAATCAGAAACACCAGCTGGGTCTGAGGTGGCGCCATCATCTGTTCAGGATCAGAACCACAGACTCATATCTGGGGCTTCGGTTCTGGAAACTAAACATACCTTTGATTCACTGAACCTGTGAAACATATGTAGCAATTCTGGTCTGAGCTGCAAATAATGCTTCTCTGGGTTTTAAACCGGATCTCAGGAAGTTCTGAAAACCTCGGATCAGATGTTCCAAACCCTGAGAAGGAGCCTCCTCTTTAACAGAGGGAGTTACAGCCTGATGCTCGGGCTGCAACTCCCCGAAATCTGCAGGAGAAACCCAGAACAAACTGTGGGAATGATTGATCTTTAGAACTTAATCCAGTTTTATATGGTTCTGAAGTCCTGGGTCCGGCCTGTAGTGGATGTTTGTTGGGGATTAAACTGACTGCTGACCCAGATTAAATGCTTTTTGCAGGAAAATTATCGCCGATATCTTTGGAGAGTCCGGAGATGAAGAGGAGGAGGAGTTCACGGTAAGCATTCCCTCTGATGCTGTTTGCTGTAAAACTGATCAGCGGTCAGCTTCACCTCCTCTCAAACCACCTCCTCCTGCAGGGCTTCAACCAGGAGGAACTTGAGGCCGACAACAAGCAGCCAAAGGAGCAGCAGCAGGCGGTGGAGGAGTCGGACTCCGATGAAGGGGTGGACCGCAGCGGGCAGGAGTAGGTCCTGATCCGGTGGTTTGTTGCCATCTCTGTCAGACGCTGAGGTTAACCTGTGTTTGTGTGATTTAGCACGAGCTTCATGTCCGATTTCGACATCATGCTGGCCAAGAGAAAAGCCATGAATAGTCGGAAGAGGCGACATCGCGACGGAGGAACGTTCATCAGCGACGCTGACGACGTTGTCAGCGCCATGATAACCAAGATGAACGAGGCTGCAGAGGTAAGCCCTACCTACCCGCCACAATAAAAGGCCCTACAGATGCAACTGCATTTCCATTCTGGAAACCTGATGTTCCCTTCAAATTAAAAGCCTTGACATAATTAATCCCATTTACTTAATCTGTTAGAAGCCTTGGTGTATTTCTCTCTGCCTGCCTTTCACAGTAAAAGCCTTTGCCTGATTAACCTTGCTGCCTTTCACAATAAAAGCCTACCATAGTTAATCCCAGCTTCTTTTAACATTACAGAGCTTGGTATAGTTAACTTTCACAGTAAAAGCCCTGCTTATTAAGCCTGCCTGACTTTCACAATAAAGGCTCAGCAATAGAACGTATTTTATAACATTTTCATAATAAAAGCTTGGCAGACGGAGCTATAGACCCCACTGATGGTTTGTTCGTTTACCAGGAGGATCGGACTCTGAACAGCCAGAAGAAGCCGGCGCTGAAGAAGCTGACGTTGCTGCCGCAGGTCGTGATGCACCTGAAGAAGTAAGGATTCGTTTTATTTCTGCTCCATTTGACCACAGAACCAGCTGGTTTCCACTGGGACCAATGTGAGGCACTGCTGTCCTGTTTGTCCCGCAGACAGGACCTGAAGGAGACCTTTATCGACAGCGGAGTGATGTCAGCCATCAAAGAGTGGATCAGCCCTCTACCGGACAAATCGCTGCCTGCCCTGAGGATCAGAGAGGAGCTGCTCAGGATCCTGCAGGAGGTGAGTCCTGACCTCTAAGCGAAGCCGACCTGAGCTTCTGAACCTTCAGTCACTCTGCGTCTTTCTGCCGCAGCTTCCCAACGTCAGCCAGGAAACCCTGAAGCACAGCGGGATCGGCCGCGCCGTCATGTTCCTCTACAAACATCCCAAAGAATCGCGTGCCAACAAAGACCTCGCTCTCAAGCTCATCAGTAAGAACCGCTGCTTTCCTCGCCAGCACAGGAAGATGAACGTTCTGGAGCTGCAGGAGCTCCTCTAATATCAGATGATCTAGCTGCTGGGGTGATGAAGATGATGATGATGATGACCACGTTGGAGCTGATCCTGTGGTTCTTTGCAGATGAGTGGTCCCGGCCGATCTTCGGTCTGACCTCCAACTACAAGGGGATGACGAGAGAGGAGCGGCAGCAGAGGGACCTGGACCAGCAGACGCCTCAGAAACGCCGACTGAGGTGACGGCCTCACAGGGTTCCCAGCACACCCTCCTCTTCCTCATCTTCCTCAACACACACTTCATCTACCCCTTTAACAGCATCTATCTGTCAGCTTCTACCAATAGAAGACCTATCTGTCAGCTTCTAC